ATAAAACAAAACAAAGGATGGCTTGAGAAGACAAAGTGAAGTATTATAACGACATGTGCAAAGACCTGGAGATAGAAAACTAAAAGAGAAGAACAAGCTCAGCATTTCTCAAGCTGAAAAAACTGAAAAAAAATTTAAGCCTCAAGTTGCAATATTGAATGATTCTACGGGGAAAATATGAAATGACACAGAAAGCATCAAAAGAAGATGGAAGGAATACACGGAGTCACTGTACCAAAAAGAATTGGTCAACTTTCAACCATTTCAAGAGGGAGCATATGATCAAGAACCAATGGTGCTGAAAGAAGAAGTCCAAGCTGCACTGAAAGCATCGGTGAAAAACAAGGCTCCAGGAATTGAAAGAGTACCAGCTGAGATGCTTCAACAAATGGATGCAGCACTGGAAGTGCTCACTTGTCTATGCCAAGAAATTTGGAAGACAGCTACCTGGCCGACTGACTGGAAGAGATCACTTGACTATGCCGAGATAGTCACATTAATAAAATGAAAAGATAAGTCACAGATTGGAAGAAAATATTTGCAAAAAGAATTTATATACAGAAAATGTAAAAAGCTCTTACAGCTCAAAAATAAGAAAACAACCCAATACAAAAATAAGCAACATTTCACCAAAGAAGATATATAGTTGGCAAATAAGATGCTCAACATCATGAGTCACTAGGAAGCCTGGTGGTTCAGTGGTTAAGTGCTTTGCTGCTAGCTGAATGATTGGAGGTTCCAATCTACCAGCCGAAGATTACAGCCTCAGAAATCGTATGGGGCAGTTCTGCTCTCTCCTATAGGATCACTATGAGTCGCAATGGGTAATGGGTTTGAGTTTAAATACAAATTAAAGCCACGTTGAGATATTGCCACAACCAATCAGAATGGCTAAAACTAAGACTGGCCACACCAAGTGTTGAGAATATAGAGGAACTGGGACTTTCATACCCTGCTGGTGGGAATGCAAAATGGTACAACTGCTTTGGAAAACAGTTCGGTGGTTTCTGAAAAAGTTAAACATACACCTACCATATGATCCAGCTATTCCACTCCTGTATTTACCCAAGAGAGATGAAAGCCTATGTCCTTACAAAGCCTTGTACACAAATGTTCATAGCAGTTTATTTGTAACATCCCCAAACTGGAAACAACCCAAACGTCCGTCTACAGGTGAACAGATAAATCTGGTGCATCCATCCAATGGAATACTCCTCAATAACAGAAAAGAAATGAACTGTAGTGCACTCAAAACAAGGAGAAACCTCAGAGTCATCATGTTGAGTGAGATAAACCTGACCGCAGGGGAACACACTGTATGATTCTGTTTGTCTGACATTCTAGAGAATACAAACCGTCTCCAGTAACAGGAGGCAGACCTGGGGACAGAGCGGGAGGAGGAATCCCAAGGGGAACAACGAAACTTTGGGAGAGGCGGGAATGTTACTAATCTGCCTGTGGATGGTTTCACAGGTGCACATGTGAACCAAAATGGATCAGACTGTACACTTGAAATATGTGGTTTGTGAAGTTAAATTATACCTCCATACAGATGAAACATGCAAACAGGAGAAGGGAAACCTACGACTTCCGGGCCATCGAGAGCTGACGTCGTCCCCCCCACCCCCACCCCGGGAGGACTTCGGACCCGAGGCCATGGCTTGGAGCATCCAGCACGCTGGGGATGGAGCATGCTGTGGGGGCAGGATCACCCACTGTGCGGCAAAGCGACAGTGATTGAGATTGTGGTGTTGGCAGGATCGGATTACCCAGTAAGCAGTAAGCACAGACCTACTTGTGCTTACTTACTAATCTGTAGTGCACAATTTCACATGGGTTTCACCACATCGTTGATGTGTGAAACCCAGATGTGGTGAAACCCATGTGAAATTGTTCACTACAGATCAATAAGTAAGCACAAGTAAACCCATGCTTACCTTGCTGACAGGGTAATCCGCCAGACAGGGGTTGTAAATTTAAGGAGACTTTGATTCTGTAGAAGGTGCTGTGGGGTTGGGAGAGAAACAGATGCCAGCCTTACCTAGAGGCAGAATCTTTGATAAGGTGAACAAACGTGAAATTGTTCACTACAGACGATCTGGTAAGCAAGGTAAGCACCGTGCTTACCTTGCTTATTGGGTAGATCAGTGGAACGGATCTTTTCTGATTATCAAAGGACACCTTAAGTCAAATCAAAACTGGGGAAGGTATTTGAAACTCATTCGAGAGTTGACTGCCATAGCATACAACAAACCTACAAATCAAGAAGCACAGAACATGACCAATTCACTAGGAAAGTGAGCAAAAGGTATACGCAGGCCTTCACAGAAAAGGAGAGAAAATGGCTAGTAAGCCTCCCTCAGGATAAGAGAGTGACACGTGAATGACCGAGGGCAGGCCATGGGCCTGGCAGGGGGACAGGGGCTGCGCGCCAGGAGGACGTCAGGCCAGCTCAGCCTCTCGTGGTGGGCAGTCTGGTGGTATCTGTCGAAACAACAAATGCCCACATCCTGTGACTCCACCTCCAGGAATTCATCCCCCCGCCCCAACACATGAATGGCGAGTCCAGGACTTGATTTTACTCTCCGTGCAAGCTAATAGCCTGTTTCTGCCTTGTGGTTGCAGCATAAAACGCGTGACTCCTGCGTCACAGACAAAGGGATAAGGCTCCCGCGCAGCGCAGAGACCGAACACCAGCGTGTCTGCCTCCGCCCCAGGCCCCACGCGACGCGAAGGCCAGGCAGCTCTGCGCGGCCTGTGGGTCTGCGGGCAAGCAAGCAGCTAGCAGGCCTGCTCCACCAGCGGGAGAGACCCACCACCTCCTCCCTGGGGCTGCTCGTTGCAAATACCCCAGGAGGGGCCCAGGCAGGGAGCGCCTGGGACGCGGATGCGCAGGGACACGCAGGAGGGACGGTCGGCGCCCACGCGGACCTCCTCCCCCGACAGTGTGCGCGCAAAGTGATGCGCAAGGTTGACCACAAGATGTCTGCGTAACAAAAGGCTGGAAACATCTGAGCAGGCGTTAGCAGAGGGCGGTTACAAAATATCCTTATACGGCACAGTCGAAGAAAGGGGCCCTGACGCAGCAATGCCGCCAAGGCGCACAGAAGCACGGAGGACTCAGAGGGAGAACACCCACAGACCGCGCACACCCATTATTCAGGCAGAGGGGCTCTCAGGAAGGATCCCGAACTGTTAACCTTGGACTCGAGGAACTGGGCTGGGAAGGGCGCTTTTCCTCTGGGTTGTGAACCAGGCCAACATACTGCTTACTCAGACACATCAACCAGTAAAATGAAAATGCCCGATGGCTCCAAAAGTCACCACGCAGAACTTCTGGTGGGAATAGAAACCATAAAAGCAGGAATTGGCTCCCATTCCTTCCTGGCTCACCCGCCACGTGTGCAGTGAGAACAGGACCCTGGGCCTGCAAGCCTGGCGTGAGGCTGTTTTCTACTTAATATGACAAACATGTTTACCAAAACAAATCTCTCAGGCACACACGTTCCACCACGCTCCGCGTCCCTGGAAGCCCTCAGCCCCTCCCGTGTGCCCTCGTCCTCCTGTCCTGCCCTCCCTGGGGCGTGTGCCACAGAATGTGCCCCAGCTAGGGCCCCTCCTGCAGACCGCAGCTGCCCCGGGCGCCAGCACCCAGCCCTCACACACACCCCAGCGCTACGGTGTCTCCTCAGGTGACTCTGCTGGACGCCCCCTTAGTCCGTGATCCTGGACTCCGCGTCTGAAATGGGGTGGTCCTTGCGCCACAAGATCACCCTGGATTGGACAAGACAGCACGAGAGACCCTGCCCTGGCGCCTGGGATAGAGACTTCTCTTGGGGGTGGGGGCGTAGGGGGGCCATCCGGCAGGGCGGGAAGAGCCTCTCCGGGCAGGTGACCCCTCAACCCTGCATGTTCTCAGACCCCGTGCTGACCAACAGTCATGGGGTCCAGGTTCACAGACAGGGAGGAGGAGAACCTAGAGGAGGTGGGTAGATGGCAGCACCAGGCTGCCCCCACCCTGAGGGACCAGCTGCCCCCCTGCCCGCTGCCCAGTCCTCTCAGCCCCTCACACCGCTGACGCAGGGGGATCAAATCCACCTTCCACTCTGCCTCTCTGCCCAGGGGAACTGCTGAGGCTTCGCCTGTGTCTGGCAGGTGGGGCCCGTTCCTGGGAGCCTCAGTTACAGGAACACAGAACTAGACACATACACACGGACACACACACACCTACACAGGCACACAGACAGACGTACATACACACTCACACATACACATCTACACATGGACACACACAGACGTGGATACTCACACCCGTGGACAGAGTCTCAGAGGACACACCGCAGGACCCCGTACGAGGAGCCCGAGGAGGTACAAAATCTCCCGAGGAAGCTGCTCCCTTCTCCAGAGGCCCTCACTCCTGCTACTCTTCAGCTTCACAGCCCACACTCATGAGCTCCAGGGACAGAGCAAGCTGGACAGTGGGGGTCTGATGGGCCCCCCACACTCCTTGACAGCAGGAGGACCTGCCCCTACCAGGTCTCCTTGTCGTTTGCCAGTGAAATTTGTAAAGCAACTTGGTGACGTTTCACCAGGGGCAGGTCCAAGGGGAACAAGGCCTGGGGATCTATTCTCCTGGGGCTGGGCACTGGGCCAGAACCAGGCAGTGTGCGCCCCTAACATGACCTTCCCGTCAAAGCTGGCAGAGCAACCCAAATCACAGCTCCACACAAACTCCTCAGGACAGGAACCCCAGTGCTGCGAGGACGGGACAGCTCCACAGAGATGGGACACGGGCACGAGGGGGCCCCTTGGCCCAGCCCTCGCCCTCTGCGGCCCACCCAGTGCAGCCGCCGCCTCCCCCCACCCCCGGCCTGTGTGGGTCCCACACCTGGCAGAACCTGCCACCTCACTGCATCCCTAAAGCCCAGTTTTTCACTGGAAACACAAATACCGCCCTCCGTTCATCACAGTCAACACAAACAGAAGACGAGATTCCTCACTGTTTCTGAATGGGCTTCCTCCTCTTCCTCCCAGCGTACAGACACTCCCCTGGTGGGATCATCGTCTTGGCCCTAAAAGAGAAAGGAGGTGTCATGTCGGTCGTGCTGAGAGAGCCCCGGCACCTCACAGCTTCCAGGCCACCAGGGACAGGACACCAGCCGGGCACTCGGCCCTCGCAGGTGGCCCTCACAGGCGTGGCCTGGGTCCTGCTCCCCCACCTCGGGCAATCCCAGTGCAGGGACCCCTGGCATGACCAGGACGACACCTGTGTGCCACTGTGGTCAGAAGAGGCTGGGAGGGCCCACAAGGACCCGCCACCCCAGCCATGACGATGCATTCAAGCTCTGCAGGCCACACTCCATCCCTCCCACCACAGGCCCCCATGACATGTCCTTCTGTAGCCGTCCTGGCCCTACTCTCATCACCGCGCTCATGTGGGGACGAAAGTCCTGGTCTTGAGCTGGGCTCTGAGACACGCGCAGCAGGTAAGGGCGTCTCCGGCAGGACTCAGGCTCTGAGGCAGAGTCTGCCCTCCAAAGCACTGAGTCAGCGTGGAGAAGGCACTCGAGGCTGGCACTCTCCCCTGTGTGGTCTCTCTGGCAGGTCCTCTTCCCCCATCTGTGCCTTTGTGGCCTTTGTACTACTGGGCCAGCAGCTTCCTCTTCTCTGCAAGAAACCTCTCACTCAGCTCTGCAAAGCCAGACTTGATCCCTAAGCTACAGCTGCGCCCAGCCTGGCCGACTGCTCCCACCAGCTGAGCAGTAGCAGTGGGCACAGAGGCACGTGTCCAAGTGAGACTGCTGACCCCGTGTTTGTTCCCACGAGCTGCCAGCTCGCTCACCCCCACCCAGGGCGGTATTGCCTGGGGCAGCGTGCCCTCCTGCCAGAATCTGACTTTTCCATGTAATGAGCATCTTGCTGACTTGCAAGGAGGGACCACGCCAGCTCTGGCTGGCAGAAGAGGTTACAGAGCCCCACCCAGTCTGCAGCACCCACAACCTGGAAGAGGGGTAGACTCAGACACACAGTTTTCCTCGCTGTGTAGAAAGTGCATGAGAATGACAGGAAGCTGCCATGCGCCCACTTTGAATGTAAAGATAGATATAGGTAGGTAAAAACTATATGAATGGAAAAAAATTCACCATGCAAACACTAATTGAAAAAAGCTGAATTAGTTATATTAATTTCAGACAAATTAGACTTCAGAATGAGGAATATTACTAGGGACAAAGAGGGATATTGTTGTTGTTAGGTGCTGTTGAGTTAGTTCTAACTCATAGAGACCCTATGTACAATAGAACGAAACACTGGCCAGTCCTGTGCCATCCTCACAATCGTTGTTATGCTTGAGCCTGTTGTTGCAGCCACTGTGTCAATCCACGTCGTCGAGGGTCTTCCTCTTTTTCACTGATCCTCTACTTTACCAAGCATGATGTCCTTCTCCACGGACTGGTCTCTCCTGATAACATGTCCAAAGTACGGGAGACAAAGTCTCACCATCCTTGCTTCTAAGGAGCATTCTGGCTGTACTTCTTCCAAGACAGATTTGTTCATTCTTCTGGCAGTCCATGGTATATTCAATATTCTTCACCAACACCATAATTCAAAGGCATCAATTCTTCTTCAGTCTTCCTTACTAATTGTCCAGCTTTTGCATGCATATGAGGTGCACCTTAGTCCTCAAGGTGACATCTTTGCTTTTTAACACTTTAAAGAGGTCTTTTGCAGCAGATTTCCCCAATGCAATACGTCGTGTGATCTCCAGCATCATTTCTATCACCAAAGCCATAATTTCCCAAATACCGATCGTTCCTCTGTTTCCAACGTTTGCATTCCAAACACAAGTAATTATCAATGCATCTTGATTGCATGTTTGATCAATTTCGGACTGCAGAAGTTGGTAAAAATCTTCAATTTCTTCAGTTTTAGCATTAGTGGTTAGTGCATAAACTTGAATCATAGTCGTATTAACTGGTCTTCCTTGTTGTTGTTGTTGTTAAGTGACGCCCAATTGGTTCTGACTCATAGCGATCCTGTGTACAACTGAACGAAACACTGCCCAGTCCTAGGCCAACCTCACAACCATTGCTATGCTTGAGCCTATTGTTGCAGCCACTGTGTCAACCCATCTCATTAAGGGTCTTCCTCTTTTTCACTGACCCTTTACTTTACCAAGCATGATGTTCTTCTCCAGGGACTGGTCCCTCCTGATAACATGTCCAAAGTATGGGAGACAAAGTCTCACCATCCTCCCTTCCAAGGAGCACTCTGCCTGTACTTCTTCCAAGACAGACTTGTTCATTCTTCTGGCAGTCCATGGATATTCAATATTCTTCACCAACAACATAATTCAAAGCCATCAATTCTTCTTCAGTCTTGCTTATTCAGTCTCCAACTTTCACATGCATATGAGGCAATTGAAAATACCATGGCTTGGGTCAGGCACATCTTAGTTCTCAAAGAGACATCTTTGCTTTTTAACTTTAAAGAGGTCATTTGCAGCACATTTGCCCAATGCAATACGTTGTTTGTATTCCTGACTGCTGTTTCCGTGGGAGTTGATTATGGATCCAAGTAAAATGAAATCCATACAATGTCAATCTTTTCTCCATTTATCACAATGTTGTTTTTGGTCTAGTTGTAAGGATTTTTGTTTCCTCTGTGTTGAGGTGTAAACTATACTGAAGACTATAGTCTTTTATCTTCATCAGTAAGTGCTTCAAGTCCTTTTCACTTTCAGCATGCAAGGTTGTGTCATCTGCATATCGCAGGTTGTTAATGAGACTTCCACCAGTCCTGATGCACATTCTTCTTCATATAGTCCAGCTTCTCAGATTATATGCTCAGCATATAGATTGCATAAGTATGGTGAAAGGATAAAACCTGATACACACCTTTCTTAATTTTAAACATGCAATATCCCCTTGCTCTTGGTTTATGTACAGATTCCACATGAACACAGTTCTGGAATTCCCATTCTTTGCAATGTTATCCATAATTTGTTATGATCCACACAGTCAATTGTCTTTGCATAGTCAATAAAACACAGGTAAACATCTTTCTGGTATTCTCTGGTTTCAGCCAGGATCCATCTGACATCAGCAATGATATCCCTCATTCCACATCCTCTTCTGAATCTGGCTTGAATTTCTGGTAGTTCCTTGTCGATGTACTGCGGCAACTGCTTTTGAACGACCTTCAGCAAAATTTTACTTGCATGTGATATCAATGATATTGTTTGATAATTTCCACATTTTGTTAGATCACCTTTCTTTGGAATGGGCACAAATATGGATCTCTCCCAGTAGGTTGGCCAGGTAGCTGTTTTCCAAATTTCTTGGCATACAGGAATGAGCACTTCTAGCATTGCATCCGTTTGTTGAAAAATCTCAATTGGTATTCCATCAATTCCTGGAGCCTTGTATTTTGCCAATGCCTTCAGTGCAGCTTGGACTTCCTCCTTCAATACCATTTGTTCTTAATCATATGCTACCTCCTGAAATGGTTGGATTTCAATCAATTCTTTTTGGTACAGTGACACTGTATATTCTTTCCATCTGCTTTTGATGCTTCCTGCATCATTCAATATTTTGCCCACAGAACCATTCAATATTGCAACTCGACGCTTGACTTTTTTCTTCAGTTCTTTCAGCTTGAGAAATGCCAAGAGCATTCTTCCCTTCGGGTTTTCTAACTCCAGGTCTTTGCACATTTCATTATAATACTTTACTTTGTCTTCTTGAGCTGCCCTTTGAAATGTTTTGTTCAGCTTTTTTATGTTACGATTTCTTCCATTCGCTTTAGCTACTCTATGTTCAAGAGCAAGTTTCAGAGTTTCTTCTGACATCCATTTTGGTCATTTTTTTAAATGAATAATTTCTTTTATAAGAATCAGCACAAAGCTGGTTCCTATAGGGAAGAAAACAAAACAAAACAAAACAAAACCCAAACCTGTTGTCGAATTGATTCCAACTCATAGTGACCCTATAGGTTCTATGAGGCGGAGGTTAAAGATGTCCCAAATGTCTAACTTTTCCAAGCTGCTGTACCACTCCATCATCTCTAACATCAACTATTCCCTCTCCCCTCAGTACTCTCCCTCCTGTCTTTGGGTTCCCTAATCCACTGCAATGTCTCATAGAACTCAAAACCATAAAAAGGAAATGGCTCCTGCAGTTGTAGAGGCTGGCAAGTCCCAAATTCATGGGTCAAGTGTAGGCTTCTCCCTGGCCCTCAATCTCTGCCCAAAGAACACTCAGCTTTCTTGCTCCATGGGCCAGGAAGCCCACTGCGCCGTCTCCAGCTGGTCTCTCCTTCACTGTTGGTGGTGGGCTCTTCTCTCTGCTCTGGAATTGGCTCTCTTTTAAGGCTAAAGTGACCAATCCCCTTGGTGAGCCACAATTATCCTATTTGCACAGCCCTGCCCAGTCACCTGGGTGGGCGTACCAGACCATGGTGAGAAAGGCCATTCTAAGTAATTCATCACATCACTTTGTTCTTTCCTGTCTCTTTAATGATATTTTGCTTTCTTCAGGTATGACGCCCTTGATGTCATTTCAAAACTTGTCTGGTCTTTGGTTTAGTGTTCAATGCAACAAATCTATTGTTGAGATTATCTTCAAATTCAAGTGGGATATACTCAAGGTCATATTTTGGCTCTTGTGGACTTGTTCTAATTTTCTTCAGCTTCAACTTACGCTTGCTTATGAGCAATTGATGATCTGTTCTGAAGTCGAATCCTGGCCTTGTTCCAACTGATAATATTGAGCTTTTCCCTCATCTCTTTCCACAGATGTAGTTGACTTGATTCCTGTGTATTGGTGGGGTCCATACATATACTCACCTTTCATATTGTTGAAAAAAAAGGTATTTGCAGTGAATAAGTCTTTGGTCTTGCAAAATTCTATCATGTGATCCTGGAGTTGTTTCCATCTCCAAGGCCATATTTTCCAATTACCGATCCTTCTTCCTTTTTCCAACTTTTGCATTCAAATCACCAGTAATTATCAATGCATCTTGATTGCATGTTTGATCAATTTCAGACTGCAGAAGTTGGTAAAA